ACGCAGTTATCTTCCGCAGTAAGTTTAAGAAAAATCATGTATATGTATATATGATTTAAAGGTTTCAAGCATGTATGTTTAAAAAGTATAGGTACATATGTATGTTAAGGAAACCAAGGTTGTAGCTAACAACCCTCATTTTGAGTATTTAAGTTTTAGAACGTTGCAACAGAGCATGCAACAAATAAATAAATTTTAAACATGACGATTTAAATGATTGATTTTAAAAGGGCTTTAAGATGTACTTGAATTTAAGATTTCTCACGAAATCCGTTTTAAAGTCAAAATTAAATGACCCGATTGAATTGGCTAGTTTTAGAAAGGCTTTTAAAGAGCATTTGAAATAAGAGTTCAAATGCTGCTCTGTTTGAAAGATATTTTTAGAACGTTTTATCTTAACTGAAATTAAGAAAAGCTTTAAGAAATTTAGTGATTCACTTATTTGAAATTATTGTTACAAATTATGAAAGTATTCTTTCTTATATTAAAAAAAAAAATGTTCCGCAAATTTTAAGAAACCCCAGTAAGTACAAGTTAAAGTTTAAGTTACAGTGGCGGCCTCATAGGAGGGTCGTCACAGGCGGAGGCTGGGCTCGGCGATTTGGCTATGGTTTGGACCGGGTCTCACGATTCTTGCATGGCGAAGGGCTTAAATCTAGAGCACATAAAACGTGCTGGATGTACACTAGTTTTTGCAAATTTTATTTATGTAGGGTAGGAGGAAGAATTTTTGAGAGGAGAGGAATTTTGGTGTGTCTTAACTGAGGAGTGTGGGTCCCTTATATAGGGGCTTAGAGGAGACCATGACTTTTTCTGCTTATAATGTGAGACAAAACGTTTTTCCACTTTTTTCCAATCTCTTAGGAGTTTTTTCTTTGGTTTTCTAAATTTTATGAGAGCATTTTGAGAGTTAATTTTTCATTCACTTATTCACTATTTTGAGCATATAAATATATCATTTTAATCTCTTTATTGCGGAGAACACAATTTCAAATTGAACTATCACCGACACAAAATGAGTTTTGCTCAAAATTGAGACTCAAAATGGTACTCTGAAAAAAAGATTTTCAAACTGTTTTTTCTACAGTATATACCAATACTGAGGTCACGCACTATAATATGAGTTTTTAATTTTTTTGAATCATCAGTTTTGTGATTTTAGATGTTTCTCTTTCATCCTTTTACGGTTCACCCCTCTAAAGTTAATTTGGGAAATTGGAACCAAATCGTCATCTTTTGTTTATTCCCGGAGACTAATTTATATTTTCCTAACTAAGTATTGTCTTTGTCTTGTTTAGTCTTTTGTCCAGAATCAAAGCCAGATACAATCGCCATGATATAGTCAAGCATTCCTAATTCCGTTTCTTTTCTTTTAGTTTTCGCCCCACTTTTATGTCCAAAGTAAGCTCCCTTTAGGCTAATATTATTAGAGTAGGATTTGAGTTTTTAAATTCAAGCTGGAATGTGATTTTATATAAAAACTTTTAACTGTAGTAAAAACAGTTAGATGTGATTTTTTATAAGAGTTTTTAACTGTAGCAAAACTGAAATTGAAAACTCAAATCGGTAAAATGAACAAAAGTTCTCATTTTTTTTTTGAAAAAAAGCCAGAGGGAAGTGAATGAACTTTCCTTTCTAATCTCTTCTCTCACAAAATTTTATCATTACAGTTCAATATATTAACTTATGTTCTTTCAATACTCGTTTTCTTAATGCTTAAAATTTAGAATGCAAGATTCAACAACGTAGGCCTCGTTTATTTCACCATTCGAATCACAACTGCAGTTTTTGTCAAAGTATTTTCTCTCATAAAAAGTCACTGATTCGAATCACAATTTCAGTTTTTGTTCATTGACGTGCTTTGTGCTTGTTATTGTTTACCAAATTGATGTCGTTTTATAGTAATATTCTTGTTTAGTGCTCTTGCTTTTCCGGTTTATGCCCCTAGAGATCATTGTCGTTTTTGGGATTTGGTCGTTTGGTTTTTTTATAGTCGTATACCCTGTTTGTGTCTTTTATTCGATCAATATATTGGGTTCCTTTTGTCGTTTTTCCTAATGACCTTTTTTATTCGATCATTATATTGGGTTCCTTTTGTCTTTTTTCCTAATGACCTTTTTGTTCTGGTAGAAATTTTTTCCTAATGATTTTGCTTGCTACATGATTGTCGTTCATTTTCTGCTTTGGTCCCAACGCACGGAACAACCGAACCGGAGAGAAAGGTGAAAAAGAACCCCATTAGATTTAGGAGGTGTTTAGTACGAGAATTCATGTAATAATTCGAATCATGGTTCGTGGCTCACTATAGTATTTTTTTTTAAAAAAATACACGTAAATTGAGAATAGTTCTGAATTCATAAATCAAACGTCCACTTAATAATTTAGACTTTAAATCACGATTCGATTGACGAGAATGTAATATTTATACGTGAGTAAAAAAATCATAATTTAATTCAAAATCTGATTCAAATAATTTAAATTAAAACTTATCTCAATTACTAATAATTTAAAAATTTAATTAAAAAATAATCATTAATCTAATCTTTTAAGAGAAAATTACGAAACTCACCCTTAAAAGTTACGAGTTTAAATTTTTACCCATTATTCTTGATTAATATCCTTTAGTTTATATAATTTTTTAATTAAAAAGGTATTAATCAAGAGCAAGTAGTAAATTAAGACTCATACATTGAATAAGTAGTAAAAATTAAGACTATACACTTTTAAAGAGTATTTTTCAATGTTTCTCAATCTCTAAATACTAGAGATAAACTAAACACAAACTATTTAAATTTAAATAAATGTATCATATTGGGTTTCTTTTGTCGTTTCCCTGATGATCTTTTTTTTTTTTTCCTTTCTTTTGGGGTAAAACTTTTGAAGTATTTATACAAAATGATCATTTCTACCCTTCATATTCTGAATATATCTTTAATTTAATAATATTATCAATCTGTTCATTTTATAGTTATTAATATTATATTTCTAAATATACCCTTCTTTATTTTAATGGTTGTAAATTTGTATAATTAATTTTAAAAGATAGTTAATTAAAAATAAAAATGTCATTATGAGATATTTTCTAAACTTATATGCAAATATAACAACTTGTTGATATTTTTTTTCTCATCTATTGTATTACAATAGACATATATGTCATTAGTTTTTCCAAATGATTTCGTCTGTATATGATTGGCATTCATTTTTTGCTACTTTACCGTTCCCAATTACACGGGAACATGACAACCGAACCGGGAAAGGTGAAGGGAAAAAAAAAAAAAAAAAACAGAGCGCCGTTTACTAATTTTGACCGTTGGTTCCCCCTTTCCCTCTTAAATAATATATATATTTTTTGAAAATGAATAATATTTTTTTTGAACACCTCCTAAGTAATAGATTGATTTTTTTTTTTGAAAAATCTTAAATAACAAATTTAGACTTTGAAAAAGATGGTTGATGATATATATGAATAAAGTGAATCTTAATTTAATTTAAATTCTAATTCAAATAATTTAAATTAAAACTTATCTCTTAATAGCTAATAATTTAAAATTTTAAAATAAAAAACATTAATAAAATCCCTAATATTTAGGGAAAAACTAACTACAAACTATTTAAATTTAAATAAACCAATCATGATGATAAAAAACCCATCTCTATATTTTCCCGCAAAAACACTCTCCCTACGTCTGTCTTCTCCGGCACTTTCCTGTTGCGACTTTTCTCTGACAATTTCTTCTGCGTCTTTTCTTCGAACACGAGGGTTTAATGGCGAAAGACGAAATATCGTATCGTTGTTGGAAGAAGTTTACGGTAGACTTGGTATGCCTTCAGTGCTCTCCCTTCTTCGTGAGCTTTGCCGCCGGCACTTTGGATGCCGAGAGCTTCCGACGTTGTATCTCGCAGGATCTCCATTTCTTCAATGCCTTCGCTCAAGCGTATGTGCCCTAACTTCTACACGTTAATTCGCTTAATCTTGAGTTAAATTTGTTGATCTTCGACTAAATTACAAGCGTATTCCATATTATCGTGTGGTTTTTTAGATATGAATTGGCGGCGGATTGCGTAGAAAACGACGATGATAAGAAGGCCATAGGTGATTTGAGGAAATCGGCACTCCAGAAGAGTCAAACGAACGAGATAGTTGCCCAAGTTTGTTTACCTTCTCTCTCTCTTCCAAGAAAGCTTCTTCTTAGTATCTTGGTTAGATTGGTCTTCTTTTCTGGAAAAGGAAAAAAGATAGCGAGAAAAGAGGAAGCGGATTTTTTTTCATTTTTTTAAATTTTTTTTATCGTCTTCTTTGGAAAAACTTTGGTTAAATTGGTTTCATTTCATTGAAAGACACGCAACTTAATTAAATTTAACTAATTTTTCTTAATCTCAATCGCCATTGACTCATGGTATATTAAATGATCTTCTTTTGGTTCTCTTTATTCGTTATTCGTTATTTGTTTTTCTTTCCCCTTAAAGGAACCTTTCTTTCATTTATGAGATTAGTCCTCTCGGCCAATTCTGATTTAAGTAAACAAAGAAAGAAAACGACTTTTTTAATTCCAGTTATAAATACTCAGGCATGGGGAATTGAAGGCTCGAACGACCGCATTTCTGATGCGACAGTCAAATACAGAGACTTTTTGCTCGCAATTGCGTCTGGAAAAGTTGAAGACATACAAGTTCCCATCAAGATCGCAACTCCTTTCGAGAAGACCAAAGTCGCTGCTTATACACTCGGTGTGATCGCTCCTTGTATGAGGCTCTATGCCGAAGTCTATCATGAGATACTATCCCTTCAAGATACTCGTGATCCCAGTCACGTTTACAAGAAATGGACTCAGAATTATGCTTGTCGAGATTTTCTGGTCTGCCCCTTTGAAAATATGTTTCTTCCTCTACATTTTTACAAGTTGGAACAAAATTTTCTTTTCGCTTATTATTCTTTATGAAATCAGAAATCAACAATGGAAACTGAAGATCTGCTGGACAAGTTAAGTACTTCTCTGACCGAGGAGGAGCTTGATGAAATAGAGAATCTGTATCACCAAGCTTTGAAGCTCCAAGTAGAACTTTTCACTGCTCAACCGATTTCTCAGCAAACGGTAGTCCCTTTGTCTCGTGCGCAGGAGCTCAAAAACCGAAATCTTACCATATTTTGCAACTTTGACTTGACATGCTCTGTTGTCCACTCCACCGCCGCACTGGCAGACGCAGCATTCTCCAAATTTCAGCCTGTGAAGGAAAAATGGGACTATCTGTCTACACAGCACGTTGAAGAAGTTGAAAATTTCTTGAATAATGTCAATTCCGGCATCCCACTAGTGCTAGGTGCTTGGAAGAATCATTGGATTTTGTTCTCTATTTATGCTTTGGTCGTTTTAGAATAGTTTAAATAGAAATGTCACACTTTTTCAGGTGTAATCTAAACTTCAAGTATAATCTTTTTGCAGGAAAGGAATATGATTATGATGACTTGCGTGAAACACTTGAACAAGTTGCAGAAATTGAGAAAAAGGCAAATGCAAGGGTGGAAAAGTCCGGAATATTGACGGGTTTACACCTAGAAACCATAAAACTTGTTGGCAACCATATTGTTCTTCATGATGGCTGCAGAAGGTTTTTTCAAAAGATTGTGAAAAATGGAAGTTCAAACATTGATGTTCATGTGATTTCTCAATGTTGGTCTAGTGAGCTCATCAGATCAGCTTTTTCTTCGGGTATGCTTCTGTGTACATCTATACATGTACTTTAGGCATTATAGGGAAGTAGATGATCTCTATTTGTGGAAATCATAGTGTCCTCTGCATCCTTCAATTGATGAGTACGCCAAAACAATAACAAAAACCTTGTAATGTGGATATGCTGATACTAGATCTTTAAAAATCATTTTTGTTGCAATTGTTAGAATGTCCTGCACCGCCGAACACATCACTTGAGATATTACTATAATTTTGTTTGTTCTTTTGTGGTGATAAAAATGATTAAATGACGTTGTTCGATCTCCATATGAACAGATTTAGACGTCCTCAATGTACATTCAAATGAGTTAGCTTATGTCGCGTCGGGTGAGATTATTAAGAAGGTTGAATCTCTGCTGGAAAAGCTCCAGTCCTTTAAAGAAGTCCTAAGGGACCGTAAGAGGGAAGGCGAGCACTTGACAGTTTGCATTGGAAGGGATGTGGGTGACTTGCTTTGCTTGCTTGAAGCAGATATAGGCATTGTGATCAATTCAAGTCCAAGGCTGATGAAACTTGGTCTTCAGTTTGGTGTCAAATTCGGCCGACTGTTTCCTACCTTGGTAAAGATGCAGAAAGAGCTTGCTAAGGACAGTTCCTCTAATTGGAAGCCAAGCCCTGGCATTCTTTATACGGTCTCCTCTTGGGCTGAAATTGAAGCATTCATCTTCGGCTTGTGAGAACTTTTTCAAGTTTTTTGTTTTCTCTTATTACTTGAACAATCTAGATAGGAATTCCATTTTAGTAGGTCATATGCTAGGTGGTTTGTGGCTAATTCTACTTTTTTTTTTTTTTTTTTTTTTTTTTTTTTTTTTTTTTTTTTGTGCTAATCGTGGCTAATTCTACTTGAGCACCATAGATTAGCTCTTAATTTTTTATTCATTGTGTTTCTTCTTTAAAGGCTGCCAATAAAGAGCTTGTATGCCAATAATCAGGTCCCTTTGTTCATTAAAAAAAGGAAAACATTTTGATAAAAAAGGAAGAAGTTTCTTAAATATCCTTTTTTTTTTTTTTTCTGCCTCCTGTAAAAGAGAAGCAAGTAAAGCAAAATGCTTCAGCTTTACATCTCAAAGTTCTGAAGATTGCAGTAGTAGGTTTACGCACCCACACCTATCCAATAAAAAAAAAAAAAAGCTCTATGGCAGTACACAGAGAAAATGATGCGTCATTTATTCCTTTGGATCATCAATTGGTGCTTTTAGATATTTCGTTTTCATGTTTTTACCATATTTGAAGCCGTCTTTTTAGCTTTTGTTGTCGTTTTCATTTGCAATATTTTTCAGAAGTCGTTCGTTTCTTTTGTGTCGTTCCCTTATTTTGGTGTCGCTTTATCCTTTTTTGTCCTTTTTAATTTAAGCCGTTCATTACTTTCTATGTCGTCTGCCTTTTCTTGGTCGCTTTATCCTTTCACGTTTTCAATTGCTTCTGGAATCGTTAAGTAACCACTGTCGTTCATACAATTGTTGTCGTTTTCCAGATTTTATACGATTTGATATTATTCACGTATCTTTTCCATTATTTTCTGTTCCTTTTGGTGGCCGTTTCCTTATATATCGTTAGTAGATGTTATTCTCTATCAACTTCTAGCTCCAACCTCTACTTTTTGTCAATTCTCTTTCTACGATGGGTTTAAAATAGTGAGATCTGATGGTACTATTTTTATTTAGTTTTCTTATCCTTTTCTCCCTTTCTCCTAAATAAGCCACCTTATTTATTTTCACTTTCCGTAAAATAATCCCTCAACTCTTTTTCTTTATTTCTCTTTTCCTCCAATACCAAACGTAGTGTTGAAGTAGTTGTCGTCCATTGACGTCTTACAAAAGATGTCGTTTTTGATCCTTCTTAATCTAAACTACACCTCTAATCAAACGTATACTTCAATTCCCTCTCCCTCTCTCTCTCTCTCTCTCTCTCTCTCTCTCTCTCTCTCTCTCATTATCCATTATACGAAGTTCAAACCTGGAATTTTCTTGCCGCCATTGCCTTGCACTATTCACATCAAGAAAAGAAAGATCCATATCCATAAAAATGGAGGAGCTAGGAGGCAATTTCGAGGTTGTCAAGATCTTGATTTTCTGAATGTTTTCATCGAAGCGCATAGCCTCATTATTTCCACTTAATCTTTAGTTAAATTACTGTAGATATGAATGGAGGTATTCATTGCATTTCTTGTTGTTTTTGCTAGCACATGACGACGGCGAGAAGAAATTATGAATCTTATTTGCGGAGATTCGAAACAAATCATTTTTTGTTGAGGATGAATTGAATTTTGAGACTTAAGCAGGTAGCTTTTCAACGAAAAGTAGTAGAAGAAAGAAAAGACAAAGGCGAAGTAGAATCGGAAATGACAAGATTTTCAGAATTGACAAGACCTTCGGAAATGTCGTTTGTTGCATGAAACGACATGTCATTCAATTATTTAAGCCATCGAAACAACCGCATATGCTGTTGGTTCATTGACGTGTGTTGTGCTTGTTAATTATTTTGGTTTACCAAATGAAGAAAAGAGACAAATACCTTTTAAAGTGCTCGGTTTTAAATTTTAATCCTTTAACTCTTAATTAATATCATTTTCAGTTAAATAACTATATTAACTAAAATAATATTAATCAAGAGTAAATGGTAAAAATCCAAACGTAGGCACTTTAAAGGTAAGTTCATCAATTTTTTCTTACCAAATTGATGTCCGTTTTTTTAGTAATATTCTGGTTTAGTCCTTTTTTTTTTGTTGCTACTGCTTAGTAATATTCTGGTTTAGTCCTTTTTTTTTTGTTGCTACTGCTTAGTAATATTCTGGTTTAGTCCTTTTTTTGTTGTTGCTACTGCTAGAACTCTTTTGGTCTTCTTACTTTTCCAGTTTATGCCCTTGGAGATAATTGTCGTTTGATCCAACGATGTCGCTTTTTCTAGTCGTATTTCTTTTTTTCCGCATGTCTCTTATTCGGTCATTATATTGGGTTTCTTTTATCGTTTTTCCTAATGAATTTTTTGTTTAGGTAGGAAAAAACCAAAAATACCACTCAAAATGGTAAAAATTATTATTTATGCTACTTCACTTAAAAGTAAACAATTGCTATTCAATTAATTAAAAAACAGTGACACTTAATTATTTAGAATGGTATAAATAATAAGCAAGCACAAAATTATAGCAAACCATATACTTTTCTCTTTTCACTAATGATTTTGTCCTTCGTTTTGCTCATTTGAGTTGAGAAGTTGAGTTAAAAAATAAATTCACGTGATTAAAAGCATTGTAACAAAAAAAAGTTGAATTTAAATTTTTGTGAACAAAAACACTGTAAGAAAAACTTGAGTTAATTCGAACTAGTGAAATGAACGGGGCCTTGCGGTTTATTTAAAATTCAGTATTGGGGTAAATTGTAGTTCATTTGTCGTTTGCGATAAGCATTATCGTTTGTAAAAATAGTTGTCGTTTCTGGCACAAGATTTGCTTGTTTATAAACTATATGGTTGTCGTTCATTTCAACCGAACTGGAGAGAAAGGTGAAAAAGAGCGCCGTTTACTAATTTTGACCGTTAGATTCCCTCCTCTCTATATTTTCCCGCAAAGAGTCTCTCTCTCTCTCTCTCTCTCTCTCTGTCTCACTTACTCTCTCTCTCTCTCTCTCTCTACTGCCGTACCGTCTCTCTTCTCCGGCACTTTCCACTTGCGACTTTTCTCGAACAACTTGCCCTTCATTTTTTCTTCGAATACGAGGGTTTAATGGCGAAAGAAACAACATCAACTCGTTGTTGGAACAAGTTTAGGGTAGAATCGGTTTGTGCTCTGTGCTCTCCCCTCTTCGTGAGCTTTGCCACCGGCACTTTGGATGCCGAGAGCTTCAGACGTTCTGTCTCGCATGATCTCCATTTTTTCAATGCCTCCGCTCAAGCGTATGTGCCCTAACTTCTACACCTCCATTCGCTTAATCTTGAGTTAAATTTGTTGATCTTGGAGTAAATTAGAAGCGCATTCCATTATCATTTCGTTTTTCAGATATGAATTGGCGGCGGATTGCGTAGAAAATGACGATGATAAGAAGGCCATAGGTGATTTGAGGAAATCGGCACTCCAGAACTTTCAAATGACCGACTTACTTGCCACAGTATGCTCACCTATGATCTCTACTTTTCTAATATTCAAATCGGCTGGCCAGAATCTTCCATTTGACGATATACTTGCCCAAGTATGTTCATCTTCGCTCTCTCTTTCTCTTCCAAGAAAGCGTCTTTATAGTTTTTTAGATTAGTTTTCTTCTTTGGAAAAAAAAAAAAGAACGAGAATAAAGAGACTTTTCTTTCCCGTCTACTTCTTTGGAAAAAAACTTTGATTCAATTGGTTCCATAACGGAACTTCCATTGCATTGAAAGACACACAAACTTAATTTACTTTAACTAATTTTTCTTTAATCTCAATCGCCATCGTCTCATGGTATTAAATTAGCTTCTTTTAGCTCTCATTATTTGTTTTTTATAATCTTTAATGAAGGTTCTTGGTTTATCAGATTAGTTCTGATTAAGTAAACAAAGAAAGAAAGGAAACAATTTTTTTCAATGCCAGCTATAAATACGCAGGCACTGCGTGGAATTGAAGGCTTGAATGACAGCATTTCTAATGCGACAGTCAAATACAGAGACTTTTTGCTTGCAATTGCGTCTGGAAAAGTTGAAGACATACAAGTTCCCATCAAGATCACAACTCCCTTCGAGAAGACCAAAGTCGCTGCTTATACACTCGGTGTGATCGCTCCTTGTATGAGATTCTATGCCGATGTTTATCGTGAGATACAAGCCCCTATAGATACTCCTGATCCCAGGCCCTATCATGGTTACAAGAAATGGATTGAGAATTATACTTCTCAAGATTTTCTGGTCTGCCCCTTTAAAAATTTGTTTCTTCCTTTACATTTTTACTAGTTGGAGCAAAAATTTCTTTTTGCTTATTATTCTTTATGAGATCAGGCATCAACTATAGAAACTGAAGATTTGCTGGACAAGTTAAGTACTTCTCTGACTGAGGAGGAGCTTAATGAAATAGAGAATCTGTATCACCAAGCTTTGAAGCTCCAAGTAGAATTTTTTGCTGCTCAACCGATTTCTCAGCAAACTGTAGTCCCATTGTCTCGTGCGCAGGAGCTCAAAAATCGAAAGCTTACCATATTTTGCAACTTTGACTTGACATGCTCTGTTGTCCACTCCACTGCCGCACTGGAAGACGCAGCATTCTCCAAATTTCAGCTTGTGAAGAAAACGTGGGACGATCTGTCTGCACAGCACGTTGAAGAAGTTGAAAAATGCTTGAATAATGTCAATTCTGGCATGCTACCAGGGCCAGGTGCTAGGAATAATCATTGGATTTTGTTCTCTATTTATGCTTTGGTTTAGAATTGTTTAAATAACACTCACAATTTTTCAGGTGTATTGTAAACTTTTAAGTTTAATATTTTGCAGAAAAGAAATATGATTATGATGGCTTGCGCAAAAAACTTGAACAAGTTGCAGAAGTTGAGAAAAATGCAAATGCAAGGGTGGAAGAGTCAGGAATATTAAACGGTTTAACCCTAGAAACCATAAAACTTGTTGGCAACCATATTGTTCTTCATGATGGTTGTAGAAGGTTTTTCCAAAAGATTGTTAAAAAAGGAAGATCAATCATTGATGTTCATGTGATTTCTCACTGTTGGTCTAGTCAGCTCATCAGATCAGCTTTTTCTTCAGGTATGCTTCTGAGAACATCTGTACATGTACTTTGGGAAGTAGATGATCTCTATTTGTCGAAATCATTGTGTTCTGTGCATCCTCCAAAATAAAATCTCTTAATGTGAATATGCTTATACTAGAGCTTTGAAATCATTCTTCTTGCGATTACTGTTAGATCGTCCTGCACAGTGGCACACATTATTTGACATGAAAAATATAATTCATTTGTTATTTTGTGGATAAAAATTATTAAATAATTTTGTTCTATCTCCATATGAACAGGTTCAGACGTCCTGAATGTACATTCAAATGAGTTAGCTTATGTTGCGACGGGTGAAATCCTTAAGAAGGTGGAATCTGCACCGGAAAAGCTCCGATCTTTTAATGAAGTCCTAAAAGACCGTAAGAGCGATGTGGGGCACTTGACAGTTTGCATCGGAAGGGATATCAGCGACTTTCTTTGCTTGCTTGAAGCAGATATAGGCATTGTGATCAATCCAAGTCCAAGGCTGACAAAACTTGGTCTTCAGTTTGCTGTCAAATTCGGCCCATTGTTCCCTACCTTGGTAAAGATGCAGAAAGATCTTGCTAAGGACAGTTCCTCTATTTGGAAGCCAAGCCCTGGCACAATTTATGTGGTCTCCTCATGGACTGAAATTGAAGCATTCATCTTTGGCTTGTGAGAACTTTTTCTAGCATTTTGTTTTCTTTTATGATTTGAAAAATCTAGATGGGAATTCTGTCTTAGTCGGTCATATACGGAGTATGCTAGTGGTTGGTAGCTAATTTTACTTGAGCACCATAGATTAGCTCTTATTCTTGTATTCATTATTTTTCTTCTTCAGAGGCTACCAAGAAATAATTCCTTTGTATGCCAATTTTCAGGTTCCTTTGTTCATTGAAAAAAATAATGACAAAAAAGGAATAAGTTTCTCACCTTCTTTCCTACTTTCTTTTGTTTTTCTGCCTCCTATAAAAGAGATACAAGTAAACCAAAAAACTTCAGCTCTTTTTAGCTGCTATTATTATTGCATCTCAACGTCCTGAACTTCGTTAACCAGCTGAAGACTTAGCAGTAAGTTTACGGCACACCTATTAAAAAAAAAAAAAAAGAAGAAAAAGCCTCAAAGGAATCAGCTGCGTCTTTTATTCATTTGGATGATCAATAGGCGTTTTTAGATATTTCGTTATAACATGTATTTGCCATATCTGAAGTCGTTTTTTTTAGCTTTTGTTGTCGTTTTTCTTGGTCACTTTATCCTTTCACGTCTTTCGCGTTTTTAATTGCTTGTGTAGTCGTTAAGTAATCACAGTAATATCGTTCATATAATTGTTGTGGTTTGCTAGATTTTATATGATTTGATATTACTCACTTAATTTACTGCCACTATTTTCTTCGTTATTTTTTTTTATGTATTTCATAGATAAAGTAATAAAATTAAAGCCATTTACTCAGAAAGACGTCTTTTTACCTTTCGCTCTTTGAATTTATCTGCAGAAGATTTGAAGCAAATAATTATTTTTTGTTGGAGATCACGAAATTTGTTTTTGAGACTTGAGCTCATAGCTTTTCAACAAAAAAGTAAAAACAGAAAGGAAAAACGAAGGCGGACTGGAATGAAAAATAGAAATGAAAAAATTTTAAGAATTTCAGAAATTGTCATGATTCCATTTCCATATACGTTCCATCATACCAAACATACGGTTTTGGTCATTTTACTCGTGATGTGGTTCTTTTAGGCTGTTGTGTTTTTCTCTACTGTATTTTTTTCTTTTTTAATTTGTTGTCGCTTTTCTTAAGGTTCCGTTTTGCTCTCCCTGCATGCTCTCCTTTTGTGCATTTTATAGTTAGATGTATCCAACTTTTCATTATAACTAAGAGCATGCTTACTCTAAAAAGGGAAAGGAAGGAGTGATTTACTTACAAAGCGTGTTTATTTACTTACAAAATTGTGATTTCAAATAAGGAAAGAGAAATGTGTTTCCAAATAGGGAAAGGGAGGAGTGATTTCTATCTAATGATGTATTTACTTATAAAATTAGCAATAAAGATTTAGTAAGCCCCGCCCAATATAGGGAATGAGAAAAGAGAATATCAATCTTAGCAAATCCTCCTTGGTATTGATTCATTGTCAAATGGAATGAATTTACTTATCTCTTAATGAATAATTATATAGTCAAAGATTATATAATTGTGTAAAAGGATTTTTGTAATAATTACATTTATAATATTGTTATTCTTAATTTTAATAAACACTAAAAAGGGAATAAGATTATTCTAATTACACCATCTAAGATTCAAATAAACACTTAAAAAGAGTATCAATGGCTTTTAATCCTACTATTTTGATTTTCTTTTTAATCCATTAATTTTCTCATTACATTTCTTTACCGTTTGTAAAGGCTCTAATTACAACTGAATCATAAAAATTAGCCTGTATTGAGTAAGTATCCCAATAAATAAGGACCTAAATAATTCCCATATATTTCCTTGAACAAACAGTACTCATAATCCCCATATATATCCGGTTCTGTAAAAACAACAAAAAAAACAAAAAACAAAAAAGTTAATATCAAAAGGCTTTTTTTTTTTACCGTCCAGATATATATACATATACATACATACATATATATAAATATATATATATATATATATATATATATATATATAGTGTGTGTGTGTGTGTGTGAGGTCCCAAAACAGTATACTCTGGTACACCCCCGAAAACTCTTGTACGATTGCTTCAGTAGTCTCATATCCTTCGAGTAAAAACGAATTAAGCCCCGAGATCAAGAAAACGTAGCCATGGATTTCTGCATGAGAGTGGCAACGCAGTTGATGCTGGACGAGATGAAGAAGGAAGAAGATTCTTCAAAGAACGTGGTGTTGTCTCCATTATCAATAAGCATGGTTCTCAACATGCTCGCTTCTGGGTCTAGTTCTTGGAGATTCTTGGCTACAAAAACGACCATGATCTCAACTCCGATTCTTCAACCATTATGTCTATTTTCGCTCCCTCCTCTGATGAATCTGAATCATCTGATCATCATGATGCTGATCGTGCCCCACAAAACTCCCCAAACGACAACGTAGCGCCTCGTGATCGAATTCATCATCCCATAAATCATCAGTATCAATATAATCCTCCAGCGCCCAATTTGCCTACACAGGTACAAAATTAGAGAATGCCAATGTATAGAGATCCAAATCCTTATGATTATATGCAAGAATATCATGAGTCGTATAATCAACCCATGAATTATCAGTACTACGGGCAGTATTCGAGAATGGCAATGTATAGAGATACAAATCATTATAATTATATAACACAATATGATCATCAGTCATATCAGCCAATGAATTATCGGTACAATTACTGTCCTAGACCAGCGCCGAATTTGTCTACATATGGGAGAACACAGGGACAACATCGGATGATGCCAACGTATTGTGATCCAATTGCGTCTAATTACATGTCGTTTATATCACACGACAGGTTTTTGGGATATTCGGATCAAGAGTTCTCAATTCCCAAGAAAAAGAAGTCAATTAAGAAGAAAGCGCCTGCCTTTAATTTGGTGAACGCTCTTTGGGCTGATCATCGCTTTCCTCTGAATCCTTCTTTCCAAAATATCACCAGTACGATCTACAGAGCGCGAGTAGAAAATGTCGGACTTGGTTAAAGAGGTATCTTTTTTTTTTATTTTTATTTTTAAAATTTTGTACAAGCCCATATGATATTTTTTTTTCACCTTTGTGAACTAGGTTCGTTCAGAAATCTCATATATCTAAGATTTTTGAACTTTTTTTTTTTTTCTTTTCCTTTAACAAACGAACAAGTTTTGTATTATTTGACTCCACAGACCAATATATACATATTACTGCCTTGTTATGTTAACTTTATTTGTACAAGAACTCTTTTACAAGATTTAGGCAAATTAATCAATATTATTGTTACCGCATAATATGAATATTGTGTTGCCAACTTCTCTTTTTCTTAACAAATCTAACAATCATTGATGATCATTTGTACATAACAGGCTGAGAAAGTTAAAAGGGAGGTGAACTCATGGGCTGAGAAGGAGACGAAAGGGCTTATCAAAGAGATCGTGCCACCGGATTTGAAACCATCGCCGCCACTCTGTCTCGCAAACGCATTGTACTTTAAAGGAGACTCGAAAACCCCGTTTGATGCCTCTATGACTAAGCCCGAGGATTTTCACCTTTCTTTACGGAGAAACTACCAAAGTCCCTTTCATGAAAGAACGAAACAAATATTACTGGTATGGAGAATTTGAGGATTTCAACCTTCTACAACTCCGATACGAGACACGAACAAGAAGTTCTCTATGTATACCTTTCTCCCTAAGGAAACACAGGGACTAGAAGATCTTCTCAAGAAGTTCCATTCATTTCCACACATGCGACAGCCTGAGGGGGTTTCATGTCCTCTGGATTCCGAAGATGAAATTTTCATACTCTTTTGAACCAAAAAAAGCTAATGGAAGCGGAAGGATTAACATTGCCTTTCGATCGCGAGGATGCTGATTTTTTGAAGATGGTTTATAGTCCTCAACGTTTTCGTAGATCGCATTCTTCGCAAGGCTTGTATTGAAATTAAGAACAAGGTACTGAGGCTGCTGCAGTTACTGTCGCCATGATGATGTGTGGAGGTCCACCGATGGGGTTCGAGCGTCCAAAACCGAGTTTTGTGGCTGACCATCCTTTCGTGTTCGTGATCATCGAAAACTTTTCTAAGCTTGTTGTTTTCACTGTAGCAGAAGTTAATCCCCTCTTGGATTGAATAGTGCAATCAAATCCTAATGTAATTAAGAAGAAAATGACGGGAAAAAAAAGTACACTTGTTTATTAGTTGAGGTCACTACCTCTAACTATTTCATGTCATTTTCTTAATTAGATAGTGGAAGAGTAATCTATGGCTTATTTTGTTAATTAACTGTGGAAGAGATGTTTTCTGTTTTGTTTGTCAGCTTGAGCGCTTAATTGAGACTCTTATTCTATTATTTCTTCCTGAGGAATATGTTTGTATACGAACTGACAACTCACAATGTCAGCCCTTGTGTTTCATAGCAAAAGTCGGCCCTTATTCTTTATTATTATTATTATTATTATTATTATTATGAGGAAAAGAGTTCTTTTGTATACAAACATTTATGTTTCTTAAATACAATTTCTATATATTTGTTTCAATCATCAATTCAGATGTTTCGGTCATCTTTTTAACGCTTGATTCTTATGAATTTTACTGCGACATTTGAACCAATTCATTCTTTTTTTTTTGTTTGATATAAGAGACGACATTGATTTTTGAGAATAAAAAAAGTAAAGAAAAAAACCACAGACATGAAAGGCAAAATATGATCAAACTATCTTTAAAACAAAAAGAGAAATATGATCAATTATCTACCAATTAATTATTAATTATTTAGTATATTAGTTAACAATTATCAATTATCTCATGTACTCCACATATATTTTTAGAAACATAACCAAACAATTCTTTTTTTCCCTTATAAGTCAAAACAATCTATCAGAATTATTGAGGGGAAAAAAAAAAACAATCTCCATTCAAAACAAATCTCAGAAAAAAAAATCAAACGAATTTGTAGAAATAGTCTCAACACTATTCCAAACAAAACCCATCCCGTGTAGCTTTCATTAAGATTTGAATCTGATGCAGCCTCAGCTGCTTCACCTCCAGCGGCGCCTGTGCAATAGGTCTTTTTGAATCATTTGTTTGCAGCACTTGTAGCCCCATTGGTGACCCTTCCAGTATGAACCCCAAACACTCGTGTGGTTGTTGACCAAAACTTCTTCATACTTGCTTCTAGGAAGTGCCATCTCCTGTAATTAACGACGGAGCGAACTTGTTATATTCTAAATCCCAAGTGGCACAAGTTAAGAGATGCAATTTTTTGGACAGCTTAGAACAGCAGCACAACAAGATGTCGAAAACAGGATAAAACTCACAACGAAACAACGGTAACAAATCGTAATCCATTTTAAGGAAAAGAAAGACCTTAACTATAGTTGGAACGGAAAAGGGGAGAAAATGCTATTGAGTAGAATAAGTTGCAAATAATAAGCAAAGAATGGAGAGTAAATTGTCGACGCAATCAAACCTGTCCCTTAATGATCCCACCAGCACGATCATATTCAACTTCTTTTTCGGTTTGCCCTAGTAAAAGCTCCCTCGGAATTTCTTGCCCAGAAGCCGTGTTGCCATATTTCTCCAAGATCGTGAACTTTTTCTGGGACATCAATTTTTCTTTAATGGCTCTCTAATTCTTGTAAAGCAACTCAGCTTGGGATGGAGCTGCTCGCAATTGAATATCTTGTCACTTCTCAAATGACTCCCACGCATGTATTTTGAGCTGCTTGAACTCCAATCCTTGACCACTGTTTCTGCATTGGTTATCACCCTAAAAGTTGTTAATAAAAAAGGGGGAAAAACAAAACAAGTAAAAGCAAGGGGGCATCCAAGTGATAAAGTTCAAACGCGCTTACTCCATAGAACTTTTCATTTCGTTCTGCATCTGGAAGAGGGTCCTTTTGCATGGATCGAGTTTTGGGATCATAGTGTACAGAGTTAACATCGAGGTTCAGGAGATATTTTGCTGTGTCTTCGCGATTACGCAGATTCCTACAAGCCCAAGGAAAGGGAACATTTATCTTTAAAATACAATTCACAAGTTAAAGAAAATACAATCACATTGGTATACAACCGCACATGCACAACCAAATTACAGTTAACAATATAAAGACGTCGATACAAAAATATCCATAACTGACAGTTCCCGTGCTCCCACCACCTGTCGTATGCACTCGCTTCTCAACCTTATCAAAATCCATTTGTTTGTTCTCATGAACTCTGGCTTCATCCACCCTCAGATCATCATCATCCACCAATTTCTCAAGTTGTTCCTTTTGGTATTGCCTTCGCCCTTCATCCCTTTCTTCATATCTTTCAATAACAAGAGCATAGGCCGACACATCATACCCATTCCAACGATCGTGTTTTCCATCATAGTCAAGCTCAAAAGTCTCTACTTTTTCATCAGGAGCAATATGTTTGTTTGTCCACTTTGCTCCAACTTTGCGGGGTCTTTCTATACAGGACTTTGCATCATGAGTCATGGCTCCACAGCCGAAAACAAGGAATCATTAAACCATTGTTCTCCAATCCACATAACAGATAACAGGGAAAAATTACAGGTATAGGTGATATAAGCTCACATCAGAGTTGGAAACAAATTTCGTAATACAATTACAAACAAATATCACCGTCAAGTTTAACATGTATTGAACTGAGATGATTATGCAATCGAGTAAGAAAGACGAGGAGGAGGAATCGACTTACTTCTCGCATGCACCTTTCCTGTATTTGTCCGCTTGGAAAGTCTTCACACCTATGTCATACGATGATTTGATGCAATTTGAATCTGGTTTCCTCTTCCTTTGATGTTTTAAACTCTGGTAAGCAAAACTAGAACAAAATATTACAACCTGCCAAAAATCATGTACCGGTATGACAGAACAAGTGAGAACAACTACAAACAACAATTTAGACCAAAAAAAAAAAATAAAAATAATAATATAAAAAATAAACTTACAGGTCTATCGGATTCGATACACCACCAAGGTGCAGAGGAGACATAGTGGGGATGTGAGGATTAATCTCTTCTTCCAATTCAATCTGGTCTTTCATCGACTTGAATGCCCCTAAAAAAACCAAATTACACGCGATAAATAAACATAGCAAATAAGGAAAATTAACGCAAAATTACAAATTTCTAACGACAGAAAATCCTAAAATAGAGTTCCAGCGTAAGCAATATATCAATATTCAAGCTAAATACCCAAATTTATGTACTTTCACTCACTGAGCCCTAATTTATGCAATTTCAAAGACATTCAATGTCCAAAACTTGTATGCTTATCATGGAACAGAACAATTCCTTGACCAACTCGAGGGCGAGCTTTCTCTAAGAGAGGGGCAACTGATGCAGCAAAGGTCCTACCTAACATGATGCAGCAAAGGTCTTACCGAACAACTCAGTCCCAACTCACATATGGAATCCAACTCACCCATCACTCATCCATCATATACAACAACTCAACCGAATCCCAGCCAACAAACCATATTCCACTCTTCGTTGGATTCCAACTTGATTGACATCTTTAGTATTGTTTAATTTATCTTGTTATGATTATGTTTGTGTTGTATTTCATAGTTTAGCCTTGTATTCCTATTATAAATAGGTGATGTATTAAGGAATCAATCAATCGATGAATAAACTTTTAAAACCAAGAATCCTTTTGTGTAAAAATTCTCTCTGAGAATTACCTATCTATTCTCCTCTCAAATCCTTTGAGACGTAAGTTAGGACGCACCTAGCAACCCGCTGTGTCATTGGAGGAGATGTTGGTGACTTGCTCTGCTTGCTTGAAGCAGATATAGGCATTGTGCTAAATTCAAGCCAAAACTTAATGATTCCGGGCATCATTTTGAACCCCGTTCATTTCACCAATTCGAGTTTTGTTATAGTAAAAAACTCTCAGAAACAATCACATCTAACTTTTTTACTGCAGTAAAAAGCTCTCATATAAAGTCACATCTCAACTCGAATTAGCGAACTAAACAGGCCCTTGGTGTTGGATTTTTCCCACTGTTCGCGGGCTTGGTAAAGAAGCAGAAGGAGCTTTTTGAGGGCTTCTCCCACAATTGGAAATCACTCTCTGGGATTCTTTTTACGGTTTCTTGTTGTGCTGAAATTGAAGCCTTCATTTTGGGATTCTAAATGAACTTTCCTTTCATCTATCTCACTAGGTCATATATAGAGTGTATATACTAATGTAGTGTTGACTAATAAGAGAGCCACATGGTCAGCTTTTATTCTTTTATCCTGTTTCTTTCCGAGAGACTGACAATAATGTATATATACAGTTCATATATAGTTCCTTTGTATACCAACATTCAGGCACATGTATTATATGCGAAGATTCATGTTATACATTAAGCGATTATTTATTTGTTGCGAACATTTGAAGCAAACCATTATTTTTTTGCTTAATATTAGAGACGAAGTTAATTTTTGAGACTTAGCATCCTTTTCAACAAAAAAGTAAATTTGTTAAAGAAACGACAAAAAAAAAGGCTAAAAATAATCTGAATGCTAACTGCAGAGGAGCTGAGAAGTTCCAAGTTCCAACCACCCCCGACGATGAAAGGCATGTCGTTTTTATGAGGAATAAGGAGAAAAGACAAGTCGTTTGCATCACCTGTCATTTTGTCATTAATTATAAAACGGCACATCGACATTCATTGAAAAATGTCGTTCAAAAGAAACCATTCGGCACAGGTTGTCAAAATACGACAATAAAATAACCCCAACATTGTGTCTTTCCATTGATAATAAACTCTTACGAAACCAGATGAAAAAGTTATTGCCTTTCCAAGTTCTTTCTACCCATCTCTCCCGCTCTGAAGCTCTTCATCTCTTGTACTCAAACAGTTTATATCTGAGTTATCTTGTCGATGTCCTTTATGGTCCCTCTTTCAAATCTAACGGCCTGATTCCGGTTTTTTTTTTCAGTAGACCTATCTATAGTACATCCTTCCCGCAAAATATAAAAGCCAATATGACTCCAATCAAACGAACGCAAACAACAATTCGTCAGCTCTGATCTCTCTCTATTTCTTTCTTTCTTTCTTTCTTTCTTTCTTTCTTTCTTTCTTTACTTGTTAGTTCAAAGCTCAAACTTTGAGCAAGAACCTCTGTCTTCTCCGCCAGTTTCTTGCTCTTCTCTCTCTTGCTCGGCCCAAACTTTTGAATTTTCTTGTCTCCATGGCTTTACATTTTTAACATAAAGAAAAGGAAAGATAGAGAAGAGACTCGTCCAAAACGATGGACAATCTAAGACTAGTTTTGACGAAGAAAGAAACAATATCAAGAAGGTTGTGGAAGAAGTTCGAAAGTGAATCGCTATTTGCTCAGTACTCGCCCTTCTTCATCAGCTTGGCTGCTGGCACTTTGGCTCTCCAGGCTTTTCACGATTTCATCTCGCAAGACCTTCATCTTTTGAAGGCCTTCTACCATGCGTATGTGCTTAGTCCATCATTATACCTCAATCCGCTCAATCTTTAGTTAATTAGGTGTAGACATGATTAAAGGTATTAATGGCATTGTGCGGTGGATTTTTCAGGTATTTATCGGCGGAGAAGTGCTTAAATGATGATGCCGAGAAGTGGGTCGTGCACGATTTAAGGGAGAATCTGCGAAAGGAAATTGTTGCATATGTAAAAATCATCCAAGTAGGTTTACCTCTTCTCACTCTTTCCTTCCTTTCCTTTTTAAGTTTTCTTTTTTAAATCCAAGTGTTTCTTTCTCTGAACCCCTATTTCTTTGTTTCTTTATCAATTTGATTATTCATGAGTACACATACATAAACTTACTTGTATTACGTTGTATCAATAGTTAATTGTTTGGCTTCCAAGAAACTGAACTGAAAACAGAGGAAATTTTCTTGAAGCTATTTTCAGTTCTTTTCCCTTTTTGTTTGCAGGAAACTCCTTTTATCTCATTAGATTTTTTTTTAAAGAAAAAAAAAGCCTTTGTTAGTGCTCTTCAATATGAGTTAGTACTACTAGATCCATTTGGTAAAAGCTGAGTTTACTTTTATGATTGAAAAGTCTACTTCTTTAAACCATCACTTGATATCTTGGATGATCAATAATGTACACAGGAAGATTTTAAATTGCCAAAACGGGAGACTACTTATGCGACGATAGTCAACTATGGAGACTTTTTGCATGATACAAAATCTGGGAAAGTTGAAGGGAGAATAGTTCCTTGCAAGAGAAAAATTGCTGCTTTTACACTTTGTGCCATTGTTCCTTGTATGAAGCTGTATTCCCACTTGTTTCAGCAAATAAAGAAAATTCTACATCCTTCTGATACCACCACTCACAACTACAAGAAATGTATTGACATTTATTGTTCGGAAGATTTTGAGGTCGTCAGTTATTTATTATTATTTTTTTCCCTCAATTTTTTTGCTATGTATACTTATTTTTTGTGAACACTCCTCTCTCATTACTTGTGTCCTGTTGATACTCTTAGGTATTAGCTATGCGAACTCAATTTATGCTGGAAAAACTAAGTGATTGTTTTACCGAAGATGAGGTTGAAGTAATGGAGAAGCACTACCACCGTGCTATGAAGCTTCAAGTAGATTTCTTCGCTAAACTCCCGACACATAAGTGCACCTTAGTCACTTTGTCTCGGCTGCAGGAACTCAGAAAGAGTAAACTCACAATATTCTGTGACTATGATATGACATGCCCCATTGCTGAGTCTGCCTCCGCTGTCATCCTGGCGAATATGTCAATAGCATTACCTCAAGTTTACAGGATGTCATCAGAAGAGTTGAGGAACGCATGGGATGTTTTAGACTACCAGCGCACTATGGATTTTGAACAATGGTTCGAAACAATCATGTCCAGTACCATGCCAGGTCCGATGAGTATATAATGAATACGCTTTCTTTTCTATTTATGTATCCTTTAACCCTTATAAAAGTAAGTTGAGAAAGATCAGCATCAATGCTTATTATAATATTCTCTGAAGTTAACTTCTTCAGGACGACAAGTATTCAACGACGCAGGTTCGGAAAGCCCTTTTTCAAGTTGCAGAATGGGAGATAAGGGCAAATACAAAGGTGGTACGGTTGGAATGTTGAAGGGTATAAGTCTAGATACAATAAAGAGTGCTGCCTCCACTGTCATTCTTCAGGATGGTTGCAGAAGGTTTTTTCAGAAGCTTGCGGAAAATGAAAGTCGAAACATTAATGTTCATATAATATCAAACTATTGGGGTAGTGACCTGATCAAAGCAGTTCTATCTCCAGGTATGCTTTTCGAAACATCTACTCATGTAAGTAAAGCACTTATGGGAGTAGATTTGTTTTGGTTAGTAATCATAAAGTGTTAGGGGACTTATATCTCAAATTTATTTAATTTTTCTTGAAATTGGTAGATATTCCTGCACTGTTGCACAAGTATTTGATATGTTATAAAAATGTATTTCTTCCCAAAAGGATTTTACTTTGTTTTTCTTTGTAATGCTAAAAATATCTCAAAAAGTTCCAACATATCTTCATCTGAACAGAGAAAAACGTCTTCACTGTACATTCAAACGAATTAGCTATGAAGAACGGTGTGACGATGGGAGATATTACAAGGATCGTGGAAACTTCATCCAACAAGTTTAAAACTTTCCATGCCGTCATAAAGGGCTGCAAAACTGAAATCGGGCACTTGACAGTTTACATTGGAGGAGATGTTGCTGACTTACTTTGCTTGCTCGCAGCAGATATAGGCATTGTGATTTGTCCAAGTCTAAACCTATGGAGACTGGCAGATCGTTTTGGTCTCAAATTTGTTGCACTTTTCGATGAATTGGTAAGGAGGAAGAATGAGCCTGCTGCGGGCTACCACAACAATTGGAAACCATACTCTGGTGTTCTCTACACAGTCTCTTGTTGGGCTGAAATTGAAGCATTCATTCTGGGGCTGTAAATAAACTTTATGTTTTTGTTCATCTAATTACTAGGTCATCTATGGAGTAAACTAATGTCATGATGGCTAATTGTAGTTGAGAGCCACAGGTCAACCCTTATTCTTATATTGTTTTTCTTCCCGAGGGACTGCCAAGAATGTATATATAAAGTTCCTTTGTATACCAACATTCAGGTACACATGTTCTAAATATTTCCTTCTTCTTTAGGGACTGTGTCCAGAAAAAAAAAAAAAAAAAAAAGAAAAAAAAAAGAGTTTCTTACTTTCTTTATGCAAATATTCAAGTTTCAAATCAATATTTACTCATATTTCAACCTTGAGAGATGAGTAACTTATTTGTGTCTTCATCAATTTAGTTTTAGATGTTTCATGACTCAGATGTTTCTGTTACATCTTTCCCCATTTCACTCTTCTTTATTTCAGTTGCGAACATTCTACCAATTCATTACTTTTCTTTTTGGTTTTATATTAGAGACGAAATCAAATTTTCAACAAAAAATAAAGTTCTTAAAGACAAGAGAAGACACCAAAGGCGAAATATAATCTGAATACTACTGTTAAATTTTTCTAAGGACCAAGGATACTCGTTTGCATCTCCTATCAGGTTTATTCATAATAAACGACATGTCCGCTTTCGTAATAAAATGTCGTTCAAAAGACAGCAGACCTTGTTGAAATACGACAATAAAAGAACACGAACGGCATGTTTGCATGTCTTTCCATTAATAATCAGATCTTAACTCCTAAGAAACCGGATAAAAAATTTTTATGTGCCTTTCCAAATTCTTTCTACCCATTTCTCCCGCTCAAAAGCTCTTCATCACTTATATTGAAACAATTCATTACTGATTTAGGAATCATGTACCATTTTTTTTTGGTCCTAGGAAACAGTGTGCTTGATGGGCAGGTATTGTAGTTAATATTGTTGTCGTTTATTGACGTAATTGTCATTTTGCAGTTTGTGGCTTTTTGCTGATTTATATATCGTTAATTAATTTTATCTGAATTTTTAAATTATGCTCTTTAGATCGTTTGTTGAGTTTAATATACTTTATTATTGATGTCTTTTGTGGATTGTAATGTCGTTTATTACTTTCTTTTTTTAAAAAAAATTTCCTTTCCTTGTCGTTTCCAAGTTTGCTGTCGTTTAATAGACGAAGTCTTTTCCTTATACTAGTGTATGTCCTTTATATATTTTTACTCTACATCTGTCGTTTATTGAGTTGAATCATGAATGTTGTTTGTTGATATTTCTATAGTTTATTGGTTTTCGTCAAACTCATTAGATTTTTTTTATCAACTTTCCTAGTGATATGGTTTGTACGTATTATCGTTTATTTATGTGTGTTGTCGTTTCTCGCCAAGATTCTGTTTCTTTAGGCAATATTCGTGTTTTATCTTGTTCTTCTTTGTCGAGACTCTTGGCGTTACATTTTGGCTTTATTTTTGCTGAACTTCACTGGTGTTTATTAATTAAAACGTTAGTCACTTTTACATTTCTTGCCGCTTCTTGTTGATGCCATTTATGGTCCCTCTTTTTAAATATAACGGTAGGTTTCCCTCTTTTCTTTCCAGAATACCTCTCTATATATTTCCCACAAAATGTAAAGCCTTTATGACTGCAATCAAACGAACATAATTACGTAAACTACAATTCGTCATCTCTCTCTCTCTCTCCATTTCTTTCTTTCTTTCTTTCTTTTCTCGTCAGTTCAAAGCTCAAACTTTTGAGCAAGAACCTCTGTCTTCTCTCCTTCACTTTCTTGCCAGTCTCTCTCTGGGCCGTTAATACAAGTAGTGTCGTCCCTTTATTCCATTTCTTCGGAATGGCGGGACGAGACGGAAGGTAAGGTCGTCCCTTTACTTCATTCCTTCGGAATGACGGGACGCTAAGGGAGGGGACCCTTCCCCTCCCCCGAACCCCCTCCCCTTCCCCTTAAGAAAGAAGGTCGTCCCTTTACTCCATTCCTTGAAAAGGAATGTCGGGACGCTATTCGTTCATGATTCACACCCGTGAATCACTCCCTGAAGACTTGTCGATATACTCTTTGATTGGGTCGGTCGATCACTCCCTCACAGGGGAGCTCTCTCTCTGTTTTGGTACGATGAGAGAGCTCCCAAGGGAGTACGTTCCCGACCAACCTTACTGAACTACGTTTCGTGGTCCACCCCGTGAACCACTCACTTCAGCAAATTAATCACAGAAAAAGAAGAGGAATATAATAAGATAAGAGCTTCTATAAAGATATAAAGGTGCTTTCAAGTCAGACTATAAGAGATAAGGGTAGTAACATCCATACCTTACCGGAGGTGAGGCAGAGGAAGAGGGGCAGCCCTCGTAGGCAGTACATACATGAATCTACGGGAGCCCGTAGGGCGGGGCATTACGTTACCTTCCAATCCATTAAATTCCACTCTATGCTCACTAATAGGAATCTTAAGCTATTTCAATTTACGGATTATCTAAAGAAGAAATGACATAAGATGACCAGTGATCATTCAAGAAGTACCCAGTTACTTGGAGTTCTAGAACCCTGTCTCTGACATTACTCTCGTCCCAAGGGATCAATCCAGGTAACAACTCCTTGAGTACAAGACGGCACTGGTTGGTCTGTAAATCAGAAAAGATGAGATCCTGAGGAAGGTTAGGATTGGGGAAAGTGAAACTCTTATTTTCTGTTTGATCACTTAAGTACCTAAAGGACGCTTGGCAGCTATACTTGACCGACGTCGGCTCCATACAGTAAATTTAAGGTATGATGTTATTACAAAACTCTTTCATTTGGTAGGCCCTTTATTCCATTCCTTCAGAATGGCGGGCCGACTACTCTTTATTTGAACTACTATTGATTGTTACTACTCTTTTATTTGGTAGGCTCTTTATTCCATTCATTCGGAATGGCGGGCCTCAAACTCTTTATTTTGGTAGGCCCTTATTCCATTCCTTCGGAATGACGGGCCTCAAACGCTTTTTTCTTTTTAGAAGGTCGGCCCTTATCCCATTCCTTCGGAATGGTGGGCCGTTAATACAAGTAGTGTCGTCCCTTTATTCCATTTCTTTGGAATGGCGGGACGAGACGGAAGGTAAGGTCGTCCCTTTACTTCATTCCTTCGGAATGACGGGACGCTAAGGGAGGGGTGTACTCATGCAAAAATTGAATTGATAAAGAATCAAAGAAAGAGGGGTTCAAAGAAAGAAACACGTAGAATTATAAAAGAAAAGAAAACGTAAAAAGGAAATGAAGGAAAGAGTGAGAAAAGGTAAACATACTTGGACAAATTTTACATGCGCATCAATTTTCTTTTGTAGAGTCTTCCTCAAATCGCGTATGATTATCTTCTTGGCATCATCGTCGAAGCAATTCTCCACTGATAAATACCTGAAAAATCCACCGAACAATGCAATTAGTACCTTCAATCATGTCTACACCAATTTAATTAAAGATTAAGCAGTAGAATGCGTTACGAAATCACTCCCTGAAGACTTGTCGATATACTCTTTGATTGGGTTGGTCGATCACTCCCTCACAGGGGAGCTCTCTCTCTGTTTTGGTACGACGAGAGAGCTCCCAAGGGAGTACGTTCCCGACCAACCTTACTGAACTACGTTTCGTGGTCCACCCCGTGAACCACTCACTTCAGCAAGTTAATCACAGAAAAAGAAGAGGAATATAATAAGATAAGAGCTTCTATAAAGATATAAAGGTGCTTTCAAGTCAGACTATAAGAGATAAGGGTAGTAACATCCATACCTTACCGGAGGTGAGACAGAGGAAGAGGCAGCCCTCGTAGGCAGTACATACATGAATCTACGGGAGCCCGTAGGGCGGGGCATTACGTTACCTTCCAATCCATTAAATTCCACTCTATGCTCACTAATAGGAATCTTAAGCTCTCTCTCTCATATACACACGCACACACAAACACATCAAAGCTAAGAGTAGTTGCTATGGAGGAAGAGAAAATACCAAGAAGGTGGTGGAGAAAGTTCGAAAGTGAATCACTATTCGCTAAGTACTCGCCCTTCTTCATCAGCTTGGCTGCTGGCACTTTGGCTCCCCAGGCCTTTCGCCATTTCTTAATGCAAGACCTCCATTTTCGTAACGCATTCTACTGCTTAATCTTTAATTAAATTGGTGTAGACATGATTGAAGGTACTAATTGCATTGTTCGGTGGATTTTTCAGGTATTTATCAGTGGAGAATTGCTTCGACGATGATGCCAAGAAGATAATCATACGCGATTTGAGGAAGACTCTACAAAAGAAAATTGATGCGCATGTAAAATTTGTCCAAGTATGTTTACCTTTTCTCTCTCTTTCCTTCATTTCCTTTTTACGTTTTCTTTTCTTTTATAATTCTACGTGTTTCTTTCTTTGAACCCCTCTTTCTTTGATTCTTTATCAATTCAATTTTTGCATGAGTACACCCCTCCCTTAGCGTCCCGTCATTCCGAAGGAATGAAGTAAAGGGACGACCTTACCTTCCGTCTCGTCCCGCCATTCCAAAGAAATGGAATAAAGGGACGACACTACTTGTATTAACGGCCCACCATTCCGAAGGAATGGGATAAGGGCCGACCTTCTAAAAAGAAAAAAGCGTTTGAGGCCCGTCATTCCGAAGGAATGGAATAAGGGCCTACCAAAATAAAGAGTTTGAGGCCCGCCATTCCGAATGAATGGAATAAAGAGCCTACCAAATAAAAGAGTAGTAACAATCAATAGTAGTTCAAATAAAGAGTAGTCGGCCCGCCATTCTGAAGGAATGGAATAAAGGGCCTACCAAATGAAAGAGTTTTGTAAAAAAAAAAAAAAAAAAAAAAAAAAACTCATTTGTGTCCAACTGATACTCTTAGGAGTTATCCTGGTTATTCTTTTCTTCAACTAACAAAAAAAATACAGGTACAAGCGTATGAAGTTTTATGTTACCGATATTTTATTTGTACATACAAAGTTGTTAAACTTTTGCCCTTGTAAAATTCAATGCTTTAGCGACCTGAAATCCTCGAGACAGAGGCAGTAGCATTGGATGTGGATGAAGCAGTGGAAGTTGAAGTGTCTCCTCTGGGCCTCCGATTGGCATCAACGAAGACAGGCTTAGTGAGTGGCCTGGCCTCAAATGAGTCCTTACTTTTGAGCAAAACGACAACTTCAGACATCGTAGGCCTTGTGGCAGGTGATGGCTGTATGCACATAAGGGCAATCTCTATTAATCTTTTCATTGTTTCTGCTTCATACTCCTCTGGGTCCAAGCATTCATCCACCAACTCAGTGTGGCTGTTTCTCTCACAAAGTTTCCATGCCTAATTTTGCACAGTTATATATTTCAACAAATTAGTTTAAGAAAATTAATATGCAATAGAAGGATAGAGTAAATAAAAGCTATACTATAATGTAATATCTAAAGCTTTGTTTGAATCTTGGAGATGTTCTAAATTATGATGGAAGACTTATCTTAATTCTGAAAGAAAGGAGTTTTCTTCTCTAAAAAAGGAAAACTAAAAGGTCACTTAAAACTTTGCCTAAAATTATTTTAACCCACCCAAAGTATGTACTCATATATATATATATAAATATATATATGTGTGTGTGTTTTGTATATATGCATGCAAAATGCTTAAAAGTTGTGCATATATGTAAATATACCCGTTCAAGGAGGAATTCACCAACAGGATCACCCTCTTTAATTTCATTGCTCTTTTGGCCACTTATAATTTCAAGCACAACAATGCCATAGCTATAGACATCAGCCTTCTCCGACAACTGCCCATGGATTGAATATTCCGGAGCTGTGTACCCCCTAATTCATGAAAACCAAAAACCAACAAATTAAAATGCACTTTTATAAACCAAATAATATTCATTATTCGGGTCTGGAAACAAAATACGTACAAAAGGAGTTTGCATGTGCTTTAAATTTCTTAGATCCGTTTTAAGCAATTTACCGAACTTAATTAAAATTCAATAAAATCACTAAATTAAAATAGAACACAGGTAATTCTTACGTGGTTCAGATGCACCTACATTTACGGAGCCATGCTTAACTAGTAAACAATCCACTAAGTTATACGGAAGTTCAAAGAAATCTATCATAGTGCTGAAATTTGTCTTGACTTCTTGAGTATTAATGTTGTCATAAAATGCCAAAGTACGAAATAAAGCTAACAAAATTGATGTTGTCTAAGGGAAGTGATCAAGTATATAATTTGGATAATCAGTTGAGACTTACAAAGTTCCTGCAAATTTGGTGCTGAGATGAGTTTGATCTTCCGGTAAAAGCCTTGCTAACCCAAAATCAGCAATTTTGGGATGAAAATCATTGTCTAAGAGAATGTTACTAGTTTTGATATCTCTGTGTATTATACAAATGTGGAAATCCTCGTGTAGATAAGCAAGACCTCTAGCTGTTCCCGTGATTATATCATGTCTTTGTGTCCACCTCAGTGAGCCTCTTCTTTCACCTATTTTTATTTTATAATTTCCTTCGTAAATGCCAACATTATAATGAGGGAAAAAAATGGTATTATCATTGTAACTATATTGATGTATCACATAAAAGTTATTACATGCATTTGGTAGCGAAAAGTACTATTTTGTGGCCAAATTTTAGTAGCAGAAAGTTGCAGAACCAGGCGAACTTTTTGCTGCTAAATTTGGTCACCGAATATGTAATTTACTATAAATATACATGTATGTATGTATGTAACAGAAAAAATGGAACGAGAATTAAAATGAAGCATGTAAAAAAAGAAGTGCGTTTTAGCTAGGTTACCAAACAAGAATCTATCAAGACTGCTATTCGCCATGTATTCGTAGACAAGAAGAAGCTCGGGTCCTTTGTTACAACAACCGAGAAGTCGAACAAGATTCCTGTGATGAACATTACTTATGATCTTCACTTCACTCTCAAACTCAGCCTTTCCTCTTTGGGACTGTCCTATTGCTAGTTTTTTCACAGCAACTATTTTCCCATTCTTCAAAGTACCCTGCTTCGTTTCCATCAATCAACGTTTGATTAGTGGTAGAGTTTCATGACCTTGGATACTAAACAGTACCCTAATACGCAATTTGGTATGTGAAAATTAATGTAGCTTAATTACTTGAACGACCTCGAAATTTAGATGGTATTATAGTAAAAGTAGAAAGTAGAAGATGCTAATTAATAAGATTGAATTATTGCTAATTATTCTTTTTTGTCCCTTCCTTAAATGCTAGCTAGCTAGTCTGATTAAGAGATACGCATTATAAATCTTATTTAATACATAAAACATGTACATAATACGTATTTATTATTTTCTATGGAATATATATATATATATATTCTATTTGTGTGTTGTATGTTTTTTCTTTAATTTTACCTTGTAAACATCACCAAATCCTCCTTCCCCAAGTTTGTTATCTTGACTGAAATTTTTTGTTGCAGATTTCAAATCCTTGTACCTATAAGTCACTGGGCCTCGCAGTTCCGTCGCTCCTAAAATGTCACCTGCAGGTGTGAGATTAACAAATGTACGTTTTCCTTAATTAAATTCCTTTTACAAGAAAGACAAGACCGAAGCATGTCAATAAATCCCGACTATAACATATGCATATGATTTGTATGATATAGTGTGTGTGAGTGTGTTTGTGTTCTTTTTTTTTTTTTTTTGTATTAGAAGATCAAAACTATAAAAATTATTAAACGAAACAAAGGATTCAGTGAAAAAACTAGAAAATTACTTCACCTCTATCACCAGCCTGAGGCTTTCTTGATCGTTTAAACCAAACAAAAAGCCCAACTAACACAAAGAATAGAGCAGCAACACCTCCTACCACGCCTCCGATAATGGCTTTCTTGTTTGAACCATGTCCTGGAATGATAGTAATGATGATGATGATGATTTTACACTATTTGATCATAATAATATTTTTGGCTAATCGAGTTAAATAGTTATTTGTATTTCCCCATTAGTTGCATGTTGTCAACTCAAGTTATAATTTTACACTATTTGATCATAATAATATTATGCTTAACAAGTAAACGGTATTTTTCTTAAAATCATTTTAGAGGTGGCATACAATAGCTCATACGCATTGTAAACATTTTGATAATCTTAGGATAATGATTGTAAATGTAATAAGGTAAGAAAAATTTACTCACCATTGCTCAAAAAGGGCGCGATATTGGTAGTTTGATTCTGAGCAAAGAAGGAAGCATTGGAGTACCTGAGAAAACACCCGGCGTCGACAGCCCTACCATCGGCATCGGGAGGACAGCTCTCCAAGTTGGCATACGCCACTTTCAAGCACTCCTTGCACCCACTCTTGGTCACAGTTTCCGCGCATTGCGCCACGCCATACACCGTCACATTTCCACCGCCGCTGCTGCTCGTCGAGTCCTTCTTTACCGCGGCAAAGAAACCGTTAATCTTGGGCGTGGCAACTTGGAGATCCGATAGCACTTCTTCGACGGCTGAAGTGAATGCTGCAGCGTTACGTGACACTGTCTGTTTCCCGCACAACCCTACGTTGCCTTCAAGAGTGGTCTGGTCGTAGAATGAGTTGCCCTCATACCTCAAAGAAGAAATATATGTATAGATATATATATATATATATATATATATATATATATATGAATGTATGATCACCTTCCAGTTAACAAAATATTGGTAATTGTAAAGTTAGATACTTACCAGTACTCAAACAACATGAATATTCTGCACGTGTAATATATATGTGATATATATGCAGTGATAATTTGATTCTTAGTTAATCTTAATTAAACAACAGTGTGACTAAGACATACAAATTAAAAGAATGAATATGTTTATGCAAATCTCTAATTCATTGTTTGGCTTTATAATTCTATTAACTACAATAGCACATTAAGCACTTTTTTTTTTCTTTCGAAAATTCACATTAAGCACTTCAGAATACTACATTTTTAGTGGGAAAGAGAAACTCGGGGTCCATTTGATTCAGGTATATTGTTTTCATTTTTAGAACTTCAATAATGTTAAAACAAATTGACAGAACAAAAAACGGTTTGTTTCGATATTTTCACAAGTAAAAAGTTCTGAACCAATGACTTTTGAGATAAATAAAAAAATGAAAACAAGAAAGCTTTAATAGTTATCAAATTTTAACTTTTTGTTATCTTAGACTGCAAATTAATTAGGACAGAAACGGTATAAATTTAAGAAAGCATGAATATAGAGCTTAGCTAGAGTATTACCGCAAGAATTTCGATATTGCGCTACCAAAAATGAGCGAAGACACACTTTGTCTTATAAGATTATTGAATGTGCATTAATAATAACATTATCAACTTTGGATGATCTTAAATAACTTATTTTAATTTGGTCGCAAAAACTCTCATACTTTTGTAGAGCGTTTCATCCAAAGAATTTGTATGCATAGTTTCGAGAAAAAAAACCAGAAATATCATTCAAGATGGTAAAAAAATATTATTTATGTCACTTTATTTAAATATAAATAATTACTTATTAATAAAGAGGACAAAAAGTTACAGTAACATCTAATTATTTATAACTATATAAATAATAAGCTTCTATAAACGGAAGAAACTAATCAGAAATGTTGACTAATCACGTTTGATCGAAACTAATCACACTGACATTTGATAAGCTTCTATAAATAATAAGCTTCTATAATAAGCTTCTAAGCTTCTATAATAAGCTTCTAAGCTTCTATAAATAACACTGACATTTGATCGAAACTAATCACGTCAACATCCTTGACTTTTGAAAAAAATTACATAGAGATCCTATTAATACGTTGACTGTTAGTTAACCGTTAGAGTTAAATGTTTATTTTTTAGAAAATGTCAGAAATGTCCCATATGTACCCGAAAACGTTTGTAAGCAATATATAAAGTTAAAAATATTACACTTTTTTCGTCAGTTCTTTTTTATTACTGTACACCTCTTTTTATGTTTTCCTCTCCTTTTAGAGTAAATATTAGAGTAACGTTTCGTCAGTTCTTTTTTATTATCATTATTATTTTACTTTACACCTCTTTTTATGTTTTCCTCTCCTTTTCACTCTCTCTTCTTTGTTGTCTCCCCCTTTTCCATATTTATTTTTTTACCCTATTATACATTCTTCTTCTTCTTCTAATCACCTCATAAATATATTTTTCTTTCTAATTCCCCATTTAATAATTTCTTCTCATGTCCAATTTTTTTTAAAACCCTCTTTCTCTACCGACGAAACATTTCGTCCCAAGCTTTTTTTTTTTTACGTTTGTTTTTTCTTGTCCTTACTCTTTTTTATTTACCTCTTTTGGTCCTTTATTTTTATATCTCATTACTTTTTTTTTACTCTTTTTTTAGCTGTTTCCCCCTAATATTATAAATATATATATATATATTTACGCAGTACATATGAACATATTATTTAAGAGAGCTGGAAAAAATGCTTTGATAGTTAAAAAAATATTTTTTTTTTGTTAAATATGGTCTGATTTTAATAGTTATTTCAATATTTACTTATTTATGGGTATTATTTTTAACCGTAAAATATTAATCTGATGGTTATAATAAGTTAGATAGTTGACCAAATAAATTCATGACTATTAATGAGATTGGAATCTTATCCATTAAATTTTTATATTTAATGGTAGACATCGAATGAAAATATAACCATTGAAAATTCATCATTTTGAGTATATATATACATGTATGAAAGTATTGTCTCTAAAATAAATTTGATATGATTTATTGGTCAAATATAGAGAATAGTACTAAATGTTTCTACATAATTTCACGATTATTCGCATAAATTAATATATATATGTGTGTGTGTGTGTGGTTGATATACATGTATGCACGTATATATATAGTGAGAACAGATGTTTGATAGCTCAAATCCCATTAAATAAAATCTATAGAACTATATGGGATCCACATTCTACGTACACCATTATTACATTTTGTCTCCATCTAACAAGTATCCATGTTGACCTAGCTATCAATTATCACATTATAACGTTTGCAAGAAGCAGACCGTCATATTTTTTATATTTGTTTAGAATGTTGATTGTCAAAAGAATATTGTGGAAAGAAGATATATTGGAGTCTTTTGGGGAGGAAAGATAGGTGACGATTTGGAGCGATTTGGGCGAGATTTTCCATCTACATATTTCATTTAAATATATTAATATGAGATACATGATTGGTTTTTTTTTTTTTTTTTTTTTTTTTGGTTTTGGCGAATTGTAAAAGATTTTTTCAATAGGATTTTAAAAAATGGATAATATATGAGTTTTTATTTTTTAACTATCAAATCTATATTAAAAACAGTCAATTCGGCGTATTTTTTTTATTTTAACATAATTTTGACTAGATTAAAATGTAAAAATGTACACTATTGATAGAAAGTTTTATTATATAAAAAACTCTAAGATATATTTAGAAACACGTAATATATATGATTGATTTTTATAATTAAAAGAGAAGGTCATTTAAGATTCAAGCTAGCCGGCAGCAGCCGGTATATTTTTAATGAGATTCTATTAATTTGTTTTCAAATATGGTACAGGGGAGTTTCATCCATAGATTCAAGCTAGCCGGCAGTAGCCGGTAAATATAAATTTTTTTTAAGGGAAATACATATTAGATTTTGATAGTTTTATTTATTCTTAATTTAGGAGTCAAAAGTCCCAAACTGATACTGTAAGAAAAAAACAAAAACAAAAAACAAAAAAAAGACCAATTGTAAGACGAACATACAATAATGACTTTAAAAAATGAACATATAATAAAATTTATCGGCTTGTAACATATGATATGCATAAAGAGTAAGTAAATATAATATATATTATATATCTAATAATTTTGAAAAGATGCAATATTAATATAATTAATAAATTTTATATTGGTATATATTACAAACTATTTTATGGTGGAACATCTTTCAAAAATATTGTTACACGATACAAATATTATATTGCACTCTAAGCATATTCGCTAATATTGTTACATGTTCACTTTAATTCTCTCATTTTTGTTCATGCACTCTAATTAATAATATTATTACCATATTAATTGAAATATTTTAATTGATATATTCTTTTAACGTTTAATATTATTAGAGTAACATAAAAATATTGGGAGTTATTTTTTTGCTGAAAAATTTACTTTCATTAAAGACGAAACAAGCCCGAGGGCAAAAACAGAAACAAACCAACGAAAAGGAACCCACCAAGGGGACAGCAACAACGACAAAGAAACCCCGCAAAGAAAGGCAGATGACGACTAAAATCTAAGGAGACTAAACGAACAAAAAAAAGAACAACCAAACACAGAGGCCCAAGTTAGGGGAACCAGCTGTGAACCACTCCTCTGTGTCGTCCAAGGAATATCGCTTATATTGGGAGTTCAATCCCACTACTTTCAAGGGTAAAACCTTTGCCTAAAATTTAATATTCACATCCCATTTTTACTCTCCACTCCCCACTTTAACTACATAACCTACATATATAATATTCAAATAATTAAATTTCCTTTTCACGCACCCTTATTATTTAAAAATTACCCTTAACTATTTTCATAAAATTTTAATGGATGATTTATTTACATTTCCTCTTTTCTCTGCACACCCCATGTAAATTAATTTATTACTTTAATACTATCTTTTATTTATATCTTTTCATTTTTTTAATACTTCAAAAAACTGTGGATATAACGATGCTGATTAGATGACAGTTTTATACAATATCGTTATCAAACATGCCATTACAAACACTGTGATTGACGTGGCAACTATAGACGACGATTTTTAAGTACTTGTATCTTTAATGACGATTTTTCTTAAAACCGTCGTTGAATCTAGTGTGGCCAAAAAGCTGATAACACACTGGATTAATAGGCCAACCCATGGGACAACAAAAAAATAGAACAAAATTTTTTTATCTAGGAAGAAAATATAACGACGGGTTTTTCATAAAACCATCGTTAAATCTCAACATTAGATGACAGTTTATAACAAAACGTCATCTAAAATACACGCTAACTACATTTTTTAATGAAAGTAGACGACGGTTTACTAATGTCCTTTTTAACGACGGATAAAAACTGTCGTTATATGTCACAGACATTTAACGACCCGCAATTAGACGACGGTTCTCCTAACTGTTATTTAATCTTTTAACGACAGTTATTAACGGTCATTAAATACCAAATTTCTACTAATGAAATTTGTTGTTTTTTTAGTTCAATAGGGAAACAAAAAAAAAAATTAAAAAGGTAAATAAAAAAATAGAAAATGTAAACTAAATTGAATTATATTCGCTGAATATCGATCGAACTCAATAGAAAATAAAAGTTTTGTAAGATACTACCTCATGAGAACAAGTGGCATTAAAAAAGTGAAACAGTTTCCTTAAAAGATTGATTTGCAAATAAATAGGAGTGAAAAACAAAAGGTTAATAAACAATATGCATAGAACAAATAGTAAAGAAAAGTATACCTCCATATAATTTTTTTTAGACTAGCCATTAAATTAGAAATAGTTTATACTTTGATAATATGATATGTACGGTGTGTAAATAGAAAAAAAAAACTCTATATTAGTTTCCTTTTATAATAAAATTTAATTATATAATTAAGTCAATTGTCTTTTTTTGTTATTTTATTTAAAGATTTTTTTGTAATAAAAAAATTTTAATTTGAGGAGGCCACGTGGTGTAAAGAGTAAAAAAGACGGTGTGAAAAGAACCATTTATCCAAAAAAAATTTTAAAAAATTAGCTCATTTAGTTTATATGTTTAAAATAATAATTTTTTATTTTAGTATTTAAATTTTAAATTTTTAATAAAAAAACTGTTACAAAATTAAAATTCATTATTTTAAATATATAAAATAAATGGGCCTTTACTATCCTACATGATACGCTAACACATGACTCTCAAAAGTCAACTAACATGAAAGTTTAAGAGGTTGTTTGGTTGGAGATTCGTTTCTTGATTCGAATTATGATTTGTGGTTTGTTATAGTATTTTTTTTTACAAAAAATACACGTAAATAAAAAATAATTCTAATCACATAGTTCTAATTAATGAATCAAACGTCTATTAAAAAAAAATTATGGGGTTGTACCTGAGGAAGCAACCGTCGTAGACGACACGGGCGCCGTTGGCGGCGGAGCAGTTGCGAATTTGTTTCTCCGCGATAGTGAAGCAAGCGGTGCAGTCAGCAGTGGAGAGGTAGTTCCGGCACTGCGCCATGGCGTAGACAGAATCGGAGCCCCCCGACTGCTGCGCCGTGGCGAAGTGCTTTCCACTGCGGAGCTGCGCCTTGAGGTCGGAGATGGTGGCGTTGAGACTGGCGTAGAAGTCGGACAAGTCCATGGCCTTGTACTGGCTGCATCCTTGGTTCAATAGTCTGGTCTGCGGGTCAGCCCCAACTGGTCCTGCAATCAGCCAGAGCCACCACCAGAACATGACTAGTACTACTTTTGCTGCTTTTGGCGACATAATATATATTTCAGGAAATACTGTGGAAGCAAACTGTTTTTGTTCTTTCTGCTACGAATTCTATCAAACTGTTATAAGGGGTTGATATTCACATTAATTAGTACCTATGGAGAAATTAATGCGCAGGAAATGGAATTGTCGGCTGCATTATTTTCCACTAGGAATAGGAAAAAAACAAAACAAAAAAAGGAAGGAAGAAAGAAAGAAAAAAAAAAAAAAAAAAAAAGAAATGAGGTAAGCCTATACATCGTCAATTGTGGGCCAGTGACGTATGATTTTATGTTATTGGTGAAAGCTCAAATGTAATTCAACCTATCTCACGATAATTATCATCTTTGAAAAGAATAAAACAAAGGGAAACACCAATAATATCCATCTATTTTATGTGTGTTTTTTTTTGTTTTGGCTGAGAAAATAATTTTTCAAGGTTTGCTAATTTAGTTTTCTTTTCATTTCCTGGTGGAAGATCGGAACAGAGAAAAATGAAAAAAAAGGATTATAATAATTTTATTAAGACGATAGTAAAAAATAAAAATGAAAAAGAATAAAAAATAAAAAAGGTACACGACCCACTTATTTAGGGTTTTATTATTACTTTTTGCATTTTTATCATTATAAAATTTTTTTTTTTTTGAATTAGAGGCGTTTAGTATGGGTAATCTTCGAGTAAAAAATTTTTTTTTTCTCGTATTATTATATTTAATGTAAGAATTGTGATTTTCAAGTTCTCAGAAATATCAATCCATGGAATTTTTTTTGTTCTTTCTGCTACGAATTCGATCAAACTTTTATAAGGGGTTGATATTCACATTAATTAGTACTTATAGAGAAATTAATGTGCAGGAAATGGAAATGTCAGCTGCATTATTTTTCACAAGGAATAGAGAGAAAACAAAAAAAAACAAAAAACGGAAGGAAGAAAGAAAAGAAAAAAAAAAAGAAATGAGGTAAGCTTATACTACGTCAATTGTGGGTTAGTGTCGTATGATTTTAGGTTATTGGTGAATGCTCAAATGTAATTCAACCTATCTCACGATTATTATCATCTTTGAAAAGAATAAAACAAAGGGAAACAGCAATAATATCCATCTATTTTATGAGTTTTTTTTTTTTTTTTTTTGGCTTGAAAATTAGGGCCTGTTCTTTTGGAGTGTGATTTGAGTTGAATTTGAGTTATAACTTGAGATAAAGTTATAATTTGAGTTTGTGTTTAGTTGTGTACATTTAAGTTATGGTGAGAGATGACAATGTTTTTGAGTTTGTGTTTGGGTGTATAATAAAACTTGAGTTGTAAACAGTGAAAAGAGAAAAAAATATTTTTTTTCCTATTTGAATTTATTTAATTTTATGCATTAAACCTAAATATAAATTGAAAGTAGCAACAAGTTTAAAAACAAAATATAAATACTTCAAAAAAAAAAGAAGGAATTTTAGAAAAAAAAAAAGAAAAAACTAGGTACTGACAATTTATTTCTACTTTCAGAAAAGAAAAATGAAAAAATTTTCTAATTTTTGTCCTCCAATTATTTCAATAATAAAATCTCAATAAATCTCTTTCAAGATCCATGTTAATTGCTCTTCTACTCTTTTCTTACCTCCCCAACTCTCTCTGATCTCTTTTTTACTCTGTTCACAAGAAAACTGAGAGAGAGAGACTGATAAATTCAAAGAAAAAATACTGAATACGAAACAACTCTATCTGACCCATTAAAGAACTTTCAAAATTCAATCAAAACTCCATTTTCCCCTTTTTTTTAATGGGAATAAGCTAAAAAAACTCATTTTTACATAAACCCATTTACCGGTTTCTTTTTGCAGAAACCCATTTTTACTGGTCGGCGTTGTTTACCGGTTAGAGTGACAAACACCCATTTTTACAGAGACAAAGATCGAGATTCTCGCGGTTCTTCCTCTTCAAGAAGCTAGATTACCTCTAATGGTTTTGCACCGTCACGGTTTTTCTGTTCTTCGTGGTTCTTTTCCAGATGTTCTTGCCCCGTTCACACACGAAGGAATATGCACTGTAGCGGAGCAGTGGAGTAAACTCAAGTTGATGGGGGAGGGTAAACTCGAGAAATGAGTAGTTGACTCGAGTAAATTTCTGAGTCTGGTTCGAGTACGCAAGTGGAGAGCATTAACTTCGCCCAAGAGACTGACTCGAGTACCGAATTCCTGAGTGAGTTAAGGCAACCGAACACACCCTAAAAGACAATGGAAGGAGTTTTGTTGCTTTTCCTGGATGTTGAGTGTTTTGTAATTGTTGTGCGTGTTGTCGACTTTTTGTCGGATCCCAAATACACGTAACGACGCCGTTTTTGGTTATAACATCCTTTTTTTTAATTTAAAATATTAAATTTGAGATTTTAGTAGATTGCGTTTTTTAAGTATTAGTAACAAAACCCCAATTAAAATTAGGAAAATAACTATTCTAGAAATGGTTAATCATGAAATATGTCCAAAAAAAAGGTAATCATCACACTAATTAACCAATGTCAATCAATAATTATTATTTTATCAAACTAGTAAATCAATGATTAACCAGCTCATCACTAATGAATTAGTATTATGTCATTGATTAACCACTAGAGCTGTAAGTTTACATTTGATCCGCTTAAAAACTCAACCCGCCCGGGCCAACTTGGGCCTAAGATCTAGGTTCGAAAGTCTTTTCGGGTCAAGCAGCCTAACTCAATTACTCTATTTTAATTTTTTATTTAAATTAACTTATAAATATTTGAGTGGGACTCTACTAGTATCGTTCAGGTTACTAAAACCGTCTATCCACTTAATTTTTACTTTGATTTTTTTTTTTTTTTTGGAGGATGAGTCGGTGGTGGTGTATCTTTGTGAGTGCTGAATATACTTAGGGCAACGCTAACAGTTATTTCGTATTTAAAAAATAGTTTTTTTTTGTTTTCTTTGTTTTTGGATAACGTATAGGTTCAAGTGACCTAAAAAAGTGCATTTGTTTTGTGCTATTTGATCTTATTTCAATTACGTCACTTACATGTTTTGATCAGTTGTCATACGTTTCAAGTTTTCAGTTTATCAACGGTTATGTTGAGTGAGATGGTGGCTCTTAGGTTGGGCAGTGTTGGCAATTTGTCGTGGTCTTTTTTTTTTTTTGTATGTTTGTTGACTTTTGCCTAAGACGGTTTGCTTTAGCAGCATCGGGGATTTGGGTGAGATGGAGTTGTGATTTCGATCTATTAAAAAAAAAACTTGCCTTAGCCTCTTTAAAAAATAGAAACAAAAACAAAGAAAGAAAGAAAAGAATTTCTTTATCAAAAAAAAAAAAAAAAAAAAAAAACGTTTTCAGTTTAGTTTTGTCGTATGACAATTAGTCTCTTTTGTGCCTGTAAAATGAAAGCAAAACTTGCTCATTTTTCTCCGTTCATTGTTGGGGATCTCCATCTCATTCACACATTGGTTAACATGTTTAGGCTTTCAATTATGAACTGAACAATCTAATCCTTACTTCGAGTATTTCTTGCGTATATGATGTAACCTGGTTTCTAACACAGTACCGGTTGTTTGGAATCTCTTTTTTTTTTTTTTGAAATTAGAAAAAAAAAGCTCTAGAAATTTGGGTTTCGAAGGTCTTAAAATGGTCGTATATTTTTGGCTTATAAGTGGGCGGTGAAGTTTGAGAATAATGTAGCACACTTTCTTGCTAGATATGCGTTTATCCTTTCCTATTTGAGGTATCTTGCGATGTGTTTATTTCATATTTTATTAGCTCGTGTAAGAACTTTTATTGTCCATATTCAATAAAAGGTTGTTTACCAAAGAAGAAGGAGAAGAAGAAGAAGTGGGCGGTGATCAATTTTCTTTAGAAAGAATAGGAAAGGTAAAGGGAATCATTTGGGTGGAAATGATTTCTCTTTGATTGTGAAAAGAGCACTTATTTCTTTTTAACTTCTCTCAATCTCTCTATAGTGAAGTATCTTTGGAGATGACTATGAAGGACTAAGGATATGGTTAGGGAGAAGGGATTTGGAGTGCTCTTGGGTATGAAAAGCTACAACATGCAAACAGTGCCGGAGCTGCTACATTTAAAATGATCTAAACATGATCTAAACAAGATCATAATAACTAATCTAGCCTACAATTCGAAAATGTCACAAAATTCTTATTTGGGATTTAGGCATACCTCATATTCCGGTGGGCAGCGGAAGCACGTCATTCATGGTCGTCGGAAAACGTCGATGGTCGGCCGGAGTCCATGAAGAACCTGGAAAAGGAAGAAGAAGGACAAGAAGAGCCATTGAGCTCCTCCCTCTCTGCCCCTTTCACATTGGCAGCCCCTTTCACGTTGGCAGCAACCACCCACAAGCACAAGCCCCTTTTTTACTAAAGAAGGGGTGCTGCACACATAAACCAAATAAGTCTAAAGGCTTTTGAGCAATATTTAATGGAGAGGGTATTTAGTCCAACGGGTTGACTAAATATTATGAGATAGAGGGAGTTCATATGCCTCAAGCGAGTTAATAAAACAAGAGTCCATCCCATTATGGACCGATATTTAACATACATGCATGTGTTAATTTACATTAACACAGTTGTCTATGAAATGCTTTTATTAATCACATAGTGAATTATTATGATTATGGAAGTCCACATAAAAATATTCTAACAGTCTTCCACTTGGACGACATAATTATACAACAAACATTCACCCATCACAGCATAAGCATCAACTAAGAATCTCACATAACAAACACAAGCTCAAAACAATCATGCATAATAACGTATCGACAGGATACAATCATTATACATAATCTGACGCTAGAGATTCATCAAAGCATGACGACAATTTTAATATATGGATAAAAAATAATGATAGAGACTAACAACCAGATGTCTCTTTTCAACTCGTCACTTTGCCAACTAAAAAGTGTGTTAACACAACATCGCACATAAAGTGATAGATACATTAATATGCATGTATTATTTGAGGTATAAACAATCCTTATCAATAACAACTTGTCACACACAAATGACAGTAAACTCCCACTACTCAATACAACTACAGGCTCCTTACAGTCTCGAGTGGAATGCGTGTTCTTATAACACCTAATAGGTAAGCCTTTAGTGGAACTGCCAACATGTTG